ACCCTCCCGTGGGCTCCTGGGGCATCCCTGGCTCCTGCATCCCCCCTCGTCGGGTACCGGGGCACCCCCGGGTCCTGCAGCCCCCCCGTGAGGTCCCGGGGCATCCCTGGCTCCTGCATCCCCCCTCGTCGGGTACCGGGGCACCCCCGGGTCCTGCAGCCCCCCCGTGAGGTCCCGGGGCATCCCTGGCTCCTGCATCCCCCCTCGTCGGGTACCGAGGCAGCCCCGGCTCCTGCAGCCCCCCCGTGAGGTCCCGGGGCATCTCTGGGTCCTGCAGCATCCTTCCCCCCCGGGGCACCCCCGTGTCCTGCACTCGTGGGATCTCGTGTCTTCCATCCGCGCAGGACCCCCGGGTACCCCCCCCGGCTCCTGCACCCCCGTGTCCTTCGGGCGTCTCCATGTCCTACACCCCCCACCACGGGACCCCCGCCCACCTCCGCGTCCTACGGGGGTCTTCGTGTCCTGCACCCCTGAGTACCCCCGTGTCCTGCACGCCCGGGCACTCCCGGCTCCTGCAGCCCCACCCCGAGCGCCCTCGAGCCCTACACCCTCCTCGGGGTCCCCGCGTCCCGCACCCCCCTTCGGGGGTCTTCGTGTCCTGCAACCCCTCCCCGGCGTCCCGTGGGTGTCCATGTCCCCACCCACCCCATCCACCTCTCATGGGTGCCCATGTCCCCCCTCCCTCCGCGGCTCCCGTGGGTGCCGAGCCCCCCGTGCCCTCCCCTTGGCTCCCTCCCAGCCCCTCTCCCGGGGGCTCCCGCTTTTATTCTGTTTATCTCCGTGTTTTCCTTAGCGGCCGCAAGAGTTATTTTAATTTTCTCAGGATATTAAATAAAGGCACGGGGTTGGTTTGGGGGGGGCTGCGGCGGGGGGCCCCACATTCCTCACCCGTTACGGAGCGAGCGGGGTTCGATAGGAGACGACGATTTGGATGGCGCCGACATCAGAGCCACCGCAGGGGCTGGCGTGGCCCCGCGGCGTCCCTCGGACCCCCCCAAATCGACCCTGATGGGGCAGCGAGACAGGAAAAAAGCTGGCGGTGCCGCCGGAGTGTGTGTGGGGGGGTCCCCGGTGGGGTTTGGGGGGGCGGGGGTCGTTGGATGGGGTTGGGCTCTGTGGTTTGGGAGGCTCCGGGCGGTCGAGCCCTCGGTGGCCGCCGGGCCGGGGTTTGGCTCGGGGAGGTGGCTGGTTGCCCTCGTTGGCACTGGCCCACCCACGGCGAGAGGCAGCGGGGGGGGGGTGCTTTTGGGTGGGGAGAACCCCGAAAAGAGCAAGCCTGTGTCGCTGGGGGGGGAGCTGATTTGGGGGGCTATAAGGAGGGGTGGCCCCCTCCACCCCGAATCCTCCTGGGAGCCACCCTGGGGACAGCTCTGTGTGGTGGCACTGGGCTCTGGTCACCCCGCTGATGCTGCCGTGCCTCAGTTTCCCCGCCCTGCGTGGAGGGACAGCGTGTCCCCCCTTTCCCTGGGGACACCTGGGGCCTGGCCAGCTCTGCCGAGCCATGGCCACCGTGACTCACCCGTGGCTGGCACACGTGGCCGTGGCCCAGCCACGCTGGCACAGGGACCTTCTGCCATCCCTGTCCCCGTGTCCCCCCCCGAGGGCAGTGGGTGCCAGTGGCTTCCCCCCCACACACTTTGTGCTGGCACAGGAGCCCGTTTCCACCTCCTTTTGCCTTTTTCCGTGGCTTTTGGGGATTTTTTTTTTTTAGGAAAAGCCCCAAACCAGGGCTGGGCACATCAAAGGGCTGGCGGGAGCCCAGGGCACGGGGAGGGGGAGGGGAGTGGGGTCCCCGCCAGCCCACAGAGCCCAAAATTGGGGTGTCTTTGTTAGCACGTGGCCCTGCCACGTGCCCCAGCGCTGCCACGTGGCTCCTGTGGCCACGGGGAAACTGAGGCACGAGGCTGAGCCAGGCAGGGGCCATGTGCACACGCGTGTTCCTGTGCACACACGTGTTGGGGCACACGCGTGTGCAGGGTCAGGCTGGTGGGTGGAGAAGCCCTGACGGGTCCCCAAAAGCAGCTTGGGGATGTCCCTGTGAAGGGGGGCAGACTGGGGGACACGGGGGCAGACTGGGGGACGTGGGGACAGAGGGATGTGGGGCCAGGGGGACAGGGGCTATTGGGTCCTGGGGACACACGGCCATGGGGACAGGGGGACACGGGGCTGTGGGGACACGGGAGAGATGGACACGGGACCATAAGACATGGGGACATGGGACTGGGGTCCTGGGGACACGGGACACTGGGATCCTGGAATGGGGAGAGGGACATGGGACCATGGGGACCCAAGGTCCTGAAGACATGGGGACACAAGGACAGGGGACCACAGGGTTACAGGGACAGACCAGCTGGTCCCCAGCCCCACTCCTGTCACCCCCAGAGGGGAGGACACGGTGACCCCGAGCAGGGCCATGTCCCCCCCGTGCCTCAGTTTCCCTGTGAGCCCCACAGAGGAGGAGTGTGGGAGGAAGCTGAGCCCATCCCTGTGATGAAGCCGCCCGGCCTCAGCCCCGCAGCCGCAGGAGAAGGGGGGGCCCGGCTCCACTCTCAATCCCTTTATTGCTGTTTTTTTTGGGGGGCAGGCAGCTAAAAAAGAGGGGGGGGCACGTTACATTAGCACCGACGAACCGGGTGTGCTAACGAGGCTGGGGGAGGGGGCAAACCCTGTCCCTGAGTGCGGGGGCACGAGGCGGCCGGTGGGGCTTTGGGGGGGCGAGAAGGTTTGGGGGGGGGGAAGAGGAAGAGAAAGAAGGGAGGGGTCTCACCTTGACACCCCCCCAGTGAGCCCCAGAGCGCTCGGAGAGCCCCCCCATAATTTAAGACATAAATTACAATGGCTAACGAGGAGCTGGGGAGGAATTGGGAGGGGGGGGAGGAGGGGGAGATTTGGGGAGAAGTGGGGGTGGGGGCAGCACCCCATAATAAATATCCCCAGCGGCGCGGAGGAGGATGAGGATGGAGGGTGAAAGGCTCAAATCTCCAACAAACTCCCGGCTTCGGGACTCCCGGCGTCTTTGCCGGGAGAGGCGGGCGGCTGGCGGGGGGACGCGGCGGGCGGGGGCTGCTCGGCGCCGGGGGGCGGCTTGGGGGGGCCGGGGTCCGCGTGGGTCTTCTGGTGCTTGCTGAGGTGGTCGCTGCGGGTGAAGCGTTTGCTGCAGAGCAGGCAGGTGAACTTCTTCTCGCGCGTGTGGGTCCGGACGTGCCGCTCCAGCTCGTCGGAGCGGGTGAAGCGCTTCCCGCAGAAGAGCCAGTTGCAGACGAAGGGCCTCTCGCCCGTGTGCCAGCGCAGGTGAGCCTTCAGGTGCGAGGCTTTCCCGTACACCTTCCCGCAGCCCGGGATGTGGCAGCTGTGCACCGGCTTCCTGCGGGCCCCCCCGGGCCCCCCCAGCCGCTCCAGCTCCTGGCAGTTGGGACAATCGCACGCCGGGCGACCCCCTAAGGAGCCGCCGCGGGGACCCTTCGGGGCCTCGCCCGGGTTGGGTTTGGGGGCGGGGGGCGCGGCGGGGGGGTTGCTGTAAGGCGGGGGGTTCAGAGCCCCGAAGTCGGAGCCGTAGGTGGGCAGCGGGGGGCTGAGGGTGGGCTGGCCCTGCAGCGAGCCCTGCAGCCCCTCGGCGCCCGCGGGCCCCCCCAGCCAGCCCCCGTTGGGGTGCACGTCCCACCAGGAAGGGGCCGCTGGCCCCGAGCCCCCCGGCAGCCCCCCGCCGATGCCACCCTTGTACCAGGAGCCGTAGGGATGCGGCATCTCCAG